AATCTGTCTATCACCTTCAAGCCTCCATTTCTTGATTTGTTCATCCCCTCTGGCTGGATTCCACCTGCACTGCTCCCAGGCAGACCCCTCCCCATCTTTCCACAAGCCTCCCAAAGACTCTGGAGGAATCCTTACCCAGTCATCTGGGGTGGGGGGATGCTCATTTTTTACTCTTCTAAATATCTGTAAATTTTATCCCTGTCTTTTAAGGCAATACATTTACAGTGATGTAGGGGTTTTCCCCTTTATATCATCCTGTTTGTTGAGCCCATGAACTGTCTTATTTATCTATATGTATAACTACTTTTCTCATTGCTATGACAACATATATCATCAGAAGCAACTTACAGAAGGAAGATGCGGTTTTTGTTTTGTTTTTTGATGTGTGTGGGTGTTTGTTGGTATATAGTCAGTGTATCGGGTACATGTCTAGTTTCTGTGGCAGCCAGAAGAGGGCATCAGATCCTTTGAAACTAGAGTTACAGATGGTTCTGGGAATAAAAGCCAGGTCCTTTGAACAAACAGAAGCGCTCTCAATCATTGAACCATCTCTCCAGCCCCGGGAAGGGTTTGTGTTAATTAATGGTTTAAAGAAAGGTTATAGTCTATCATGCCAAGGATGGCACAGCAGCGGGAGATGAATGTAAGAGCATGTGGTCCACAGTCAGGAAGCAGAGAGAGTGAATGTGGGTGCACAGTTTATGCTCCTTTCCATCCTGTCTGGGGCCCTAAATCACAGGGGTGGTGCCATCCACACTCAGGATGTACTTTCCTTCCTCAGTTAAACCTCCCTGGCACTGCCTCTCAGACACCCCCAAAGGTGTGTCTCCTGGGTCTTCTGTTGCTGCAAAGAGACACCATGACCACAGCAACCCTTACAAAAGAAAGCACTTATTTGGGGGTTTGCTAACAGTTTCAGCGGTCTAGTCCATGATCATTGTAATGGAAACAGACAGGCATGGCACTGGAGCACAGGCTTCATATCCTGATGTGCAAGCAACAAGCAGGGAGACACCGGGGCCTGACATGGGGTTTTGCAACCTTAAAGCCCACCCCTAGTGACACACCTCCCAGAGAGTTCCACATATGAGCGTTCAAACATATGAGCCTATGGGGGCCATTCTCATTCAGACCACCACACCCTGCATAAAGTAACTGCATATTTAGCTAAATAACGTCTATCTGGTCCATTCTGACCTTGAAAAGAATACTGTGTGTGTGTGTGTTTGTGTGTGTGTGTGTGTGTGTGTGTGTGTGTGTGTGTATCCTGTGTCAAGCATACACATAGGAGGACTGTCTTAGTTGGGGTTTCTATTGCTGTGAAGAGACACCATGCCTGTGGTAACTTTTATTTCTTTTGTTTTTATTAATTTATTTTTTATAGTCCAATCCCAGTTCCCCCTCCCTCCTCTCCTCCTGCTCTCCCCATTACCTGCCTCCACCCATCTGCTCCGTGGAGAGGGTAAGGCTTCCCCTAGGAAGTCTAAGTTTGTCCCATCATCTTGTTGATGCAGGACCAAGGCACCTCTCCGCCCCCACACTCCTGTGTCTAGGTTTGGCAAGGTATCTCTCCATATAGAATGGGCTCCACTAAGTCAGTTTGTGCATTAGTGTTAGATCTTGGACCCACTGCCAGTGGCCTCATATATTATCCAGCCGCACCATTTCCACTTATATCAAGGGAGTCTAGTTCGGTCTTATGCAGATTCCCCATTTGTCAGCCCTGAGTCAGTGATCTCTCCCTAACTGAGGTCAGCTGATTCTGTGGGTTTTCCCATCATGGTCTTGACTCCTTTGTTCATATTTTTGCTCCTCCCTCACTTTGATTGTACTTCAGGAGCTTGGTCCACTGTCTTCCATCCGTTTCTGTCAGAGAGTTCAAGCTTCTCTTGGGTTATGGATTGTAGGCTGGGTATCTTTTGCTTTATGTCTGGTATCCACTTATGATTGAGTACATACTATATTTGTCTTTCTGGTTTGGGATTACCTCACTTAGGATGTTTTTTGTTTTTGTTTTTTGTTTTGTTTTGTTTTTTCTGGTTCTGTCCATTTGCCTGCAAATTTTAGGATGTCCTTGTTACTTACTGCTGGGTGGTACTCCATTGTGTACTCCATTCTTCAGACTCTTTCCAAGATCTGGCTATTAGCAATAATGTTGCTATGAATACAGTTGAGCAAATGTCCTGTGGTGTGAATGCGCCTCCTTTGGGTATACGCCCAACAGTGGTATTGCAGGGTCTTGAGGTAGGTTGATCCCATAATTTTCTGAGAAATCATCATACTGATTTCTACAGCAGCTGTACAATTTTGCACTCCTACCAGCAATGGAGGAGTGTTCCCCTTTCTCCACATACTTTCCAGCATAAGCTGTCATTGGTGTTTTTGATCTTAGACATCCTGAGAGGTATAAGATGGACTCTCAGAGTGGTTTTAATTTTCATTTCCCTGATGACTAAAGATGTTGAGTATTTCCTTAAGTGACTTTCTGCCATTTGAGATTGTTCTGTTGTGAATTCTCTATTTAGATCTTTACCCCATTTTTTAATTGGATTAGTTGGTATTTTGATCATGGTTACTTCTATAAAGGAAAAGCATTTCATTGCGGTGGCTTACCTTTTCAGAAATTTAGTCCATTATTATCACTGTTCAACATGGTGTCATGCAGGCAGACATGATGCCAGAGAAGCTGAGTCTTACATCTTGACAAGCAGGTAACAGGAAGTAGTCTGAGACACTAGGTATGGCTTGAGCATATATATGAGACCTCAAAGCCGGCCTCCTCAGTGACACACTTGCTCCAACAAAGCCACACCTCCTAATAGTACTACTCCCTATGAGTTTATGGGGGCCCGTTTACATTCAAACTACCACAAGGGCTATTAGAGTAATCTACTTAATGTTTGGGATCAAAGAGTGTGTGTGATCTTAAAAGCAAAATCTGAAGGGTGGGTTGGGAGTCTAGAGAATCACCCCAATATCTGCAGTAAAGTCTCCCCTAATACATCCTGAGATCTGGCTGAAGCCCATGACCCTCTCCATTTCCTTTTCAGCCCTCCTGTGGTTTTGAGGACCCTGGCCAGCTGGGCCAGAGGTTCAGGCACCCTCGCTGACAGGCGCTGCCAAGTCTGCAGTCTCGGGATTGGACCAATCTTTCTTCTCCAGCAGAATGCAGTTGGCTTTGTGTCACAGTTCTGTTCTCTCTTCAGAGGGTGCCAGACACACTAAATGGTGATTAAACAAAAATTAAAATTCCATCTGGATGAGTGAGTGAGTGGCAGTTGGGAGCATGATGGATCCCTTTGGAATGTTGACTAAGAGTACATGGGTTCCAGACACAGTCACTCCAAGCACGTGTCCACATGCATTTGCAGTGTGCTTTCTTTGTAAAGGGATTTCTGGCCATTGTGCCAGCCTCCTCACTGCACTCCTTCCCTTGTCTTCGTCTCCTGTGGCCAGGGGACATTCAGTGGGGTGTGAAGGAATGAGGAGGTGTAATCAGAAGATGATTGCAAGCCAAAAAAGAATGATCTCAGTTTTCAGAAACACACACCTCTGGGTGTGATACAGCGTTACAGAAATATCCAAGTACCTCTGGGTTAGAAGTCTTGGCATGCTCTTTTTCATGATCAGTTTTACTTAAGAGCTGTGTGTTTGGAGCTAGGAAAGTGCCCAGTGGGTAAAGAGCTTACTGTGCAAGTGTGACAACCTGATTTTGAATTCCCAGGACTCTTGTAGAAGCAGGAGTCTATTATTCCATCACCTGACACTCACTTCTTTGTTTTTCAAGACAGGGTTTCTCTGGGTAGCCCTGGCTGTCCTGGAACTCACTCTGCAGACCAGGCTGACCTCAAGCTCATAGAGATCTGTCTGCCTCTGCCTCTTGAGTGCTGTGATTAAAGACACGCCTAACACCCACTTTTGAGGCTCTTTCCTAGGTGTAATGCCGAAAGTTCAGACTTAGTCCCAAAAAAAAGAGTAAAATACCAGCAGGTGGTATCGCACACCTTTAATCCCAGCACTCATGAGGCAGAGGCAGGTGGATCTCTGTGAGTTCAAGGCCAGCCAGGTCTACAGAATGAGACAGGACAGCCAAGGCTACACAGAGAAACCCTGTCTTGGAAAAAAACCTAACCAAAACAGAGCAAAAAGTAAAATCCCATAATTGCATTTTACTTTGATTGATCGTTGAAATGCCAATGTTTTAGATGAAATGAATTCGGTTTAGTTATATGCATTGGGACTGGAGAGATGGCTTTGTGGTTCAGAGTGTGCACTGGTCTTGCAGAGGACCTACATGCAGTTCCTAACACCTGGGTCCAGCAGCCCCCGTAACTCCAGCTCCAGAGGATCCGATGCCCTCTTCTGGCCTCCCACACACAGACAGACACATACATACATAATTAAAAATTAAATACATCCTCAAAAACTAAATATGTTACTAAATCTATGTTCATGTGTTTTGTTTGTTCCTTTGGAGTGCTGAGGGCTGAACCCAGGGCTTCATGAGTGCCAAGCAAACACTCCACCGTTGAACTGCATCCCTTAGCTGCTACTTGTTGTTGTTGTTGTTGTTTTGTTGTGTGGCAGTGTCTCACAGTATAGGCCAAGCTATCCTAGAACTCACGGTTTTCCTGCCTCTACCTCCTGGGTGCTAGGATGACAGGGTGTACTACCGCGCCCAGCCTCGTTTTTTTTCTTCGGTGTGGACAGCAATTTGCTCTGACTGCCTTGTCTGCTCCGCATATCCTTTCTGGTGGGCAGCAACACCCTTGGCACTTTCTCCTGTTTCTTTCCTCTCCTGGGTGTCGAGTTCCCAGGGGGTGGCACTGAGCTTCTGCGCCCCCCTGGCTTCTTCCCATCTAGCAGTCATATGGCAGGCTCTCAGAAGGATGCTCAGGAGGCTGGACAGTCTCTAGTGCTCCCTTTAGGCAGTACAGCCTCTGGACCTTCATTACTGCCATTCATTTTCATGTTTTCTTCTTTTTCTTTTCTTTTTTAAGGACTCAAACAGTCGACCAAAAAAGACGTTTTTCTTGGGAGATGAGCAAAAGCTGAAGGACTGGCACGACAAGGAGGCCATCAGGAGGGACGCGCAGCGCGTAGGTATGGAGGGCGGGGCTGAGTATGGGCATTGTATAAGTAAGCTGCCACAGGCATGTGTGCGTGTGTCGTGTGTGTTAGGAGCATCTGGACCTCTTGTTTGCTTCCTCCCTGCAACCATCCTTCCTAATTCCTGTGCCCACCTTTCACCTCTTCTGGCCTCTCCTATCAATACCAGACCCACTGTCTTCAAGTTTGCTACCTTCCAATTAGCAAGCAGGTCCCCTACACAGTAAAGTAAGTAGCAGTGATTTGAGTTGAACACAGAGCATCCACCCTGCACAACCTGATCAGCCTTTATGGCCCACTGAATAAGAGGGGACCTGTACCTCAGATATGATGTCACCTGCTAGACATCACACAGGGAGAGCAAGGCCAACCTAGGACTTGAACCCAGGTCTGGAAGGCATGGCCAGTACCTCACCAGCTCCGGAACCGGCTGCATGGACTTCAGCTCCAGTTTCCTTTTGCTAATAGGACTTTGTCACCTTTCTTGTAAGGCTGGCAGGTAGGGGAAGGGCCAGCATAAAGAGGTACAGACACCGTGTGTGGAGATTCTTCTATGCAGAGTCCAAGAAAAGGTCAGAACAACTCCAATGCCAGCTGCCACCTTAAGGGGCCACCCGTGAAATCCACCCTTCCTGAGCCTCCATCTCCCCACCTGTGGGTGATCACATGCAGTCCGCCTGAGCAGCCTCAGAACGCTGTTCTGAGAGTGAGGAGGGAGGTAATGGATATGAGGTATGAGGTTGCTTTGCTTGAGTGGAAAGTGGATACTGCAGCCCCAGGGATTGAAATTGTGTGTAGTGATCCGGGTTAAAGGTGTCCCCTCTAAATTATTTATGACAAAAGCAGCTTACTGCAAATCTTGGAAGAGAACAGGCGTAATAACTGAGCTGGTGCCCAGGGCATCCCCAGTCCTGACGCCCAGTACTCCACTCCATGTGCCAGGAGTGTTATATGAATGGGGAAGGGCACTGCTTAAATTAAAGAAAGGAAACATCTGCAGAGAGCCAGCTGGCCAGACAATCGTGCCTGAATTATTAGAATATTCAGCTGGCTAGCAAGGGAAGAAAGAACAACAGGGAAATTAAGAAAAATAATGACTGTTTACTTTCTTGTTTGTTGAGATAAAATTTATACATAAGTATTAAAGAGTAAATCTTTTTTAAAAATTAATTTATAATTGCCTAAATTTTTATAAAAAAAAAAAAAAAAGAAGAAAGAAAAAGAAAAGAAAAGGCGAACAATGACACTGAGAAGTGCTAAGTACAGACCCAGTGTCCTCCTCAACCATCACAGCGGATCTTGTCTGAGAAGACAGAAATTGCAGCCTTGCCAGGATGCCCTGCTGAGGTTCAGCGGGCTGGCCTCTCCTCTGCTAGGCCTCGGAGCCAGATTGTTACACACACACACACACACACACACACACACACACACACACACACACACACACACACCCTACTGTGTGGGTCTCCTGATGCCTCATTTGGAGCGTGAGTTCAGGCCTCTTCCCTCCTGCCACACCTCCACAGCATCAGTACCCTCAGTTGTCCTTCTCAGACGTATTGCACACAGATTGTCAACCGTGAATCTGTGACTCGCAGTAGAACTTTCTAAGCAGACCTGGCTGGGTAGATAAGGTAGCTCTTAATTTACCTCCCAACATTAAAGAGAAATCAAGGCATCTTTTATCACTGTGGCATTTTAAAAGTCATTTACTTACCATTTCTTTTCAGCTGTACTGAGAGTCCAACCCCAGCCCAGCATAGCTGCTAGGCAAGTGCTCTGCCACTGAGCTACTTCGTCCTAGCCCTTGTTTGTGTGACAATTTTGATTTCTACAGAACATTTTCCTTGTTTAGATGGGAATCAGATTGCCTCAAGTTTATCTGGTGTTTTACAGTTTACAAAAAGCATTCACTTGTGCGGCCTCTGTGCTGCTGGTATTATCAGGGGAGACAGTGTAGCTTAGAGAGCCAGGGTTCATCAGCTCGGAGAAGGTAGACCTGCCTCCTGTCCAGGGGACTAAGTGGCCATGGGGTTCAGGCTCTGGAGGGAGTTCAGGGAGCATGGGCTTCGGCCTCACACCTGGTTCGGAAATCTTGTTATGATTTTCAGCATGCCTGCAGAGTGAGAGTTCTCCACTCCACTGTACGGGGTCGCTGTGGGGACTCTAGGGAAAGATGGGTGGAGTGCAGGACATTACCCTGGCTGCATGAATGCTGGAACCCCTCCTCCTCTTGCACAATTTGTGGGGGGGTGCTTAGGTGACATTAATCTTGATTATTTCAAGCTAGAGATGAATCTGCAGTTCAGAGCATTTGCTGCTCTTTCAGAGGTACAAGTTTGGTTCCAGCACCCATGTTGGGCAGCTTACAACTGCCAGTAACTCCAACTCCAGGGGAACTGATGCCCTCTTCTGGCCTCCACAGGTCGGTCGGTCTCTCTCTCTCTCTCTCTCTGTCTCTCCATCACACACACACACACACACACACACACACACACACACACACACTTTAAATTTTCTTTTTATGTGTATGAATGTTTTGTCTGTGTGTGACTGTGTGTGTGCCCGTGTGTGTGTGACTGTGTGTGTGCCTGTGTGTGTGTGTGTGTGTGTGTGTGTGTGTATACTCTTATGTGTGCCTAGTGCCTGGGGAGTTCAGAACAGAGCATCAGATCCTCTGGATAGCTGTAAACCACTATGGGTGCTGGACACCTGAGCCCAGGTCCTCTGTGTGAAAGTGCTCTTAACTGCCTATCCATCACTCCAGCCCCCACATAATTAAAACAACAACAACAGAAGAAAGCTTTTTCTTTTAAATCTTGGTTGTCTAAATTTTATTTTTGCTTGAGCTCACTCTGGATCTATCTGTCAGGGCCTCTCCAGAGACAAGCACATCTTTGGACCTCTGACCTAATCACTGTAGGTTATAGGGAGGAAGATGAGAGGGTGTGGTTAGGGGGAAAGGCACCAAGACCAACTGTTCTTCAAAGGAAGACAACTGTCAAAGATGGTCCAGTGAGGGCCTGAAGAGAGAGACTTCAGTCTCACAAAATACGGGGTCTATTCTTAAAGGTTTCCTTACACAGCCTGGAAGTGGGCTGAGTTAATATATGGTCTAGAGGTTGTCCACAGTGCATGTCTGTAGTCAGCTTGTCCCTGGTGTCCAGGTGGCAGAGGGAGGGAGAGGATTTGGCTTCTTGGGAGAGCAGTGAGTGGCCTGCCTGCTTTCTGAAGAAACCCTTGGAAGAGAGAGGGGTTTCCGAAAGGTGTGGCCGGATCTTGTGAAGCCTCCAGAACAGCCCCAGAAGGATTGGAGACCTAATGATGAATGGTTTGATCCTCTGATGAAGCTGATGTGGTGACAAATTGGAAGGAGACAAGAGTAGGGGGTAGGGTTTCTGTGAAAAAGGTAGAGGAGTGGGAGAGTATCCTTGGAGCTGAATCTCACCCTGGTCTCTTCCTGGACTCCCTCTCTCTGCTTTCTGTGTTCCCTGGGCCTCTTCCATGCATTCCTGCTGCCGCTACATTATGTTTCACAACCGGCACAAAAGCACACAGCCATGTGACAGAACACTCTGGAATAAATCTTTCCTCTGTTAAGAAGCTTTTCTCAGTTCCTTGGTCATAGTAATGCAGAAGTAACCAGTATGTCCCATGACCAGGTATAAGATTAAGAAAAAAATTTACATGTACTTATTTTATCTGTATGAGTGTTTTGCTGGCATGTGAGTCTTATGTACCACATGTGTGCAGTACCCATGGAGGCCATTAGAGGACATCTGATCACTGGGACTGGAGTGACAGGTGGTTGTGAGCCACCACTGAGCGCTGAGCTCAAATCTGAGTTCTCTGCAAGAGCAGCCAGTGCTCTTAACCACCGAGCCATCTCTCCAGCCTCAAGCATCAGGCTGGATCTGCAGTCCAGTCATTCTCTCCCCAGTCTCAGCCCTTGCAGCTGTCAGGTAAACCAGCAACACTGAATTTGCTCTCTGCCCCTAGGAAATGGAGAACAGGGGAAGCCTTACCCCATGACCGATGCCGAGAGAGTGGACCAGGCATACCGAGAAAATGGATTTAACATCTACGTCAGTGATAAAATCTCCCTGAATCGCTCTCTCCCCGATATCCGGCACCCAAAGTGAGTGTCACACCTCTCGTCTGCTGCCTAAGGATTTTGCCCATTGCTCTGGGTTGTGAAATTCAGTTACATGAGGAAGTGCCGCCAGCCTCCTGTGGAACAGAGCCTCTGCAGAGGCTTCAGTTATCAAACCCTCTGCAACTTGGAGCCGATGTAGCCAGGGATGGTGCTTTCTGTTTGTGTGTTCCTTCACTCAGGGGGTAGGAGCCAGCAATTCTCAGAGTCTCCCAAACAGCAGCATCAATTCACCTGGGAATTTGTCATATGTGCAAGTGTGTGTGTGTGTTTGTGTGTGGGTGGGTGGGTGGGTGGGTGGGGGAAAGGGCACATGTGTCACAACACACATGTGGAAGTCAAAGAACAACCTCTGGTGTAGGCCCTTGCCTTCTGCCTTGTTTGAGGCAGGGTCCATTTGTTGTTCACCACTATACAGGAGGCTAGTTGCTGCCAGCCCCTAGGGAATTCTCCTCCCCGCCCCCCTCACTGTAGGAGTGCTGGGGTTACAGATGGTTCCTGCTGTTCTGGATTTATGTGGGTTTTAGCACTTCAAACCCAGGTCCCCAGGCTTGTTCAACAAGCACTCTGCCCCATGAGCGATCTCTCCAGCCCAGGCCTCCACTCAGATTAACTGCATCAAAGCACTGGAGGCCATCAGCTATCAGTGTCCCCAGAAGACCTGTAGGTGACTCTGATGCAGCCACAGTGTAGAACAGGTAACCACACAGGTGGGAAGCCTTGCTTAGAAGACAGGCTGTACCCAGGACTAGGCCCTTTGCACCGAGGTCTCTCACCTAGAGGGGACAGAAGAGGGGCCTGGAGTGCTTGCCTGTGGGATTTTGTCTCATGGTCTTCAGAGCGTTGCTGAGCCACACTGGTGTTGCTGGATTCAGATCAGTGAGCTGACATTTTGAGAATCACCAGACCAAACCCTGTGCCCGATATCTGGACCACTAATCCTAACTGTAAACAAAAAAAAAAACTTATACCACGAGTGCCCCAACCTTAAACCATCACCAGCTCCTAGGAAGAAATTCTCACTATTCTCCTGATGTGGACCTTCAATGATCTGTCCTCCTGCCTCAGCCTCCCAAATAACTGGAATGACAGGCCTTTGTGTTAGGCTCAGCTCATGTAACTCAGGTTCTGCACTGACAGTGAGGAGGAATAGATTGCATGGGGGATGTTTTTATATGATTATAGAATAGGAAAACCCTCACCTGAACAGTCCAAAGCTGGAAACAGTGTCTGCCTGATTGGCTTCCCTTCTCTTGGTTTTCTTTCCTTTAAAAAAAATTGTGTGTGTGTTTATGTATGTGAGGGTACATATGCCACAAAGTGCCTGTGGAGGTCAGAGGACAGCTTATAGGAATCAGTTTTCCCATTCCACCATGTGGGTTCCTGGGATCGAACTCAGGCTTGGCAGCAATACCCATTAACTTGCTGAGCCATCTCTGCAGGTTTTCGTTCTTTCTTTGTGTTTCTTTCCTCCGCGTTAGAAGTGTCGCCTTGAAATGTCTCCACAGCTTGGGAGGGGGTCCGTGCTCAGGAGGCCCCTGGCACCTCTGTTAGCAGCCTATCCGCCTTACTAGCCTCCTGATTGCTAATGTTGAGTACTTCTAACACCTGCTTTTTACAGCTTCCCCATGTGTGGAAGCTGAGTTTCCAGCAGTGAGTCGATAGATACTTGAAGTCCTCCTCTGTTCCCCAGAGAGGCGCCTCTCCTGTGGTTTGACAGTGGGAGCACCTGAGCAAATTAGAGCGGTTGAGCAGACTGGTGCCGTCGGTTTCTTCTGGCTTAAACAACTTCTCGGGCAGGAGCTGGGTTTCCTGTTTGCCTTTTATCCTTTCAAACTGAATTTTGGCATCGGCATGGCAGGAGAAGGATGGAGGGGGCTGTCTGTTTATATCAGGCGCCTTTGCTCACACAGAAGCTGCTCCAGAAACACACACCCATAGAGAGCAGGAGCTAGGCAGTTTGGCCCCAACTTGCTGGGCTGGCATGTGGAAGATGACCAGCTGGCTCTAAGCAGGCCTGCCCTCTGCACCTCCAGCCCAGTGAGTGTGAACACAGGCTGGCTGGTGGGCTGGCCCACTTTTCCTGCTCCCTGGGGAACCCAGTCCAGCTGCTTGGCAACCAAACATAGAGGCTCTTCAGGACTGAAGGCAGGAGTAGGGTCTGTAGACTCCTCTGGGATGCCTCAGTGGGGTTTTTGGTTTCACATTGTAAAATTAACCACACTAGACATGACAGCAGCCCACAGCCATGACCTGCTCTCTCCATGGTGAGCATATGTAATATCAGGAAAGAGTGAGTGGATGTAAATGGAATCTCTATCAACCACATTCCCACCCCCTATACTCCCTTTGGCTTTTTCCTTTTGTGTTAGCATGATAAAATTTATGATATGTGCTGAATTTCCTCAAAAGAACTTATGGTTTATTGTAATAGGCCAGATTCTCTGGAGCCACTTTAGAACTCCAACAGGTTACAGAGTCCAAATGAAAAGGGAGATTGAGCTTGTTGTCTGACAGTCATATTACACACACTAATAAAATGAAATGGTCTGGGTATATGGCTAAGGTGATAAAGTGCTCACAGCACACGAGTATGAAGACCTGAGTTCAAGTCCCCAGTACTCATATAAAAGCCAGGTGTGATGGCACATGCCTCTATTGCTATTAGGGGTCAGGGATGCGCTGAGACTGGTTGATCCTCAGAGCACCGAGAGAGGGTAGACTAGGGCGGTGTGTGGAGCATATATCTTTTTCAGCATATGTCTTGGATGGGAAAAAAAAATCACCCAGGAGGACTAGAGAAACACCAATGAAGTCTGATAACTGTTTCTCTTCCTACGGCTCATGCTGGGGAAACTCATAATTCACACTCCATGAACAGCTGGGTGTAGTGCCTAGAAGCACTTCTTTACCTTAGTGGGAACTCTTCAGCCCCCGGACCAGTCTTGAAAATAATCATAAATTATGAATCAGAAAGATGAAAGTGTTTTCAAGTACCTTAATGTAATGCAAAACTCAAGGGTGCAGGCGTACAGGCACTCAACTGTGAACATTGGTAGCCAGTCGAAACTTAGTAGGAGTGCAAAGTAGCAGGGAAGGTGACCTGTGATGATGAGAACAGCCTGACTCTGATACAGATGTGGCATTGGCAGGACACTTCAGCTGTGTTGTTTATAAAGTAGACATAGACGATATAGAAAGACTCAAACTCTAGAAATACTTTTTTTATTTTATGTGTATGAGTGTTTTTTGTTTGTTTGTTTGCTGCATGTATGTGTGTGTATACACCGGTGTGTGTGTGTATGTGTGTGTGTGAGAGAGAGAGAGAGAGAGAGGGAGACTGGTACCCTCAGAATACAGAAGGGGCTGTCAAATCCTTGGAACTGCAGTTACAGATTTATGAGCTGCCAAATGGGTCCTGGGAACTGAAGCTGGATCCTCTATAAGAGCAGCAAGTGCTCTTAACCACCTCCCAAACTCAAGAAATTAAACCAACTGTGGCTGAGATTAGAAATGCATAGATTTATGACAGAATAGCTATTGCAGGAGAAAATGTTAGTGAACTTGAAGACATCGCGAAAGAAACCGTCCAGAATGAAACATAACTGAAAACTCTATGAAGTCTGGGATAATTTTGAGTCATCTACTGTGAGTGTAATTGGAATCTGTGACAAAGAGAAGGAAAATAATGGCTTGAAGCGCTCCAAATTGGGTGGTAACAGTAAAGCTACATCCAAGAAACCCAGTGAGGAGGCTGGGAAGATGGTTCAGTGGGTAAAGCACTTGCCACGTAAGCATGAAGACCCGAGTTCGCATTCGAGAGCCAGCAAGAGACACGGTAGAATGGGTCTGTAATCTCAACGCTCACACAGTGAGGTGGAAACAGAGATGGAGGCAACAGAGTCCCTGGAGGCTTATGGGCTGTTAGCTTGGCATGGACAGCAGCAAGGAGACCCTGTCTCAAAACAAGGTGGAAGGTGAGAGTGGACACACAGAGTTGTTCCGGGTCCTCCTCATGTGCAGTATGGCATGCATATGCCTACATTCATGCACACGAAGAGCAAGTCATTGTCGGCAGCCACAGATGGGAACAAGGAACCCAAGCTAGGAGTCTGTGACCGGAAAGGAGAGTGGCTTGTGTTAGCAGGGAGCAGCAGAGAAGCCAGGACTGGCCCTTAGGATACCGTGAAGGTGGAGACAGCAAGATCTACCTAAGAGCTGCATGGAAGTGAGCAGAAGAGCAGAGTCAAGGATAATGTCAAGGTTCCTGCCCCCAGAGCAGCTGGAGAGGTGGGGTCGCCATTTACAGACAGGCAGGGAATGACCTCTGGAAGAGCAGGATTGGAGTAGGCATTCGGAATGAGATGTTACTAAATATGTAAATGTCCACAAAGTAGGCGAGTGCGTGGTGGTATTGTGAAGAATGGAAATGGGGTGTTTTTATTTCTTTTGAGTTGCGGTATTCAGATTGTGGTTTTAGCTCACCTTCTGTGAAGAGCAAGAGACAGCAGAGATCCAACAAGGTTGTGAGTCTCGAACTGACCCTAGACTGGCTGGTGTCAGGATACGTGGATGAAGTGCTGGTTAGTTGTTTAACTGTTAATCTGACACAGCCTAGAAACTGAGAAAACAGCCTCAACTGAGGAATTTTCTAGACCAAGTTAGCCTGTGAACACATTTTGGAGTGTGTGTGTGTGGGGGGGGGGGTCTTGATTGTTAATTGGGGTAGAAAAACCTGCCCATTGTGGAAGGTGCCATTCCCTGATTTGGGATTCTGAGTAGTCTTAAGAGTAGAGAATGCTAACAGAAAGCAAGCAGGCAGCACGAATGCATTGTTTCTTTCTGCTTTTGGCTACAGGTGTGATGTGGTTAGCTGCTTTGAGTCCCTCTCTCAACTTCCCCCTCAGAGATAGATTGCATATAACCTGGAGGGATAAGCCCTCTAGACCCTCAACTCTCAAAGGTTGCTTTGGGTCAAGGTGTTTTACCTCAGTGACAAAAATGAAGCCAGAGTAGTCCACCTTCAGGGTTTGCAGTTTGGCAAGAGCCCTACTCACCACCTCTGCCATACAGAGTTGGTTAGACCTTCTACAGACTAATGACACGCTTAGAAGTCACAATGCTGACTAGCAGACATCATCCTTTTCATCATGATTCGTGTAGTAAAGTGAGCTTGCTGGGCACCTTTAAACCAGAGTGCTCCAGGATCACCCAGGATGCAGAGTTCCGGTTGCAGGCAGAATGTAGGTATCCTGATGTGATAGGTGGTTACCGAGGCAGCTATGAGCTGGGAGCCCTGTGGGTAGAGAGGTCTGTGCACTGGGAAAAGAAATCCAGGTCCTTCTGCAGCACCTCTACTTTCCCAGGAGACTTTACCAGCTCTCCTCTAAAATTAAACTACTTCCTTCTGAACCACGGAGTGTTGATTTTTTTTTTTTTTTTAAGATAGCAGTTATTGATCCATTGGACCCAATATCAAGATTTAAAGACTCAAGAACCTTGAAGTAAAATGGCAGCCAATAATACAGTTTCTTCAGGTGACTTTTATTTCCTCTGGTTTGTAAGCTAGATTTCAGTAGGCTCAGCCTGTGGGTTGAAAATCAGAGAGATTGATAGCTTGCAAACAAAAATGGCTGCCTGTCAGCTAAAACTCAAACAAGCATGCATCACCCACAACACATGCTAGCTAAAAAACACCCACAGCCATGCCAGCCGAGGGATGGTCAGTGTATGTGAGTTTGGATTTTTTTTTTTTATTGTTGTTGCTTTGTTGTTCTTATAAACAGATGCATTTTTTTGAATCTCCTAGAAACAGACGCAACATCCATCTTTAAAAAAAAAAAAAAGCCCCCATTTATTGTGTGCTTATCCATTTCTTGGTGTGCTGGACACTGGATGGGGCACTTCCCAGTTACAGTGTGATTCCAGCTCCCCCCCCCCCCAGCATGATTTTATGGAGGTCTCCCACTACATCACCTGGACTGACTCTTAGGAGAGCCCTTGGCTAAAGTCAACATAGCCAGTAGAAAGTGGGTCAAAGCACGTGACTCTTTACCCCTGCATTCTCCTGTGGACAGGGGTCCATGTCTCACAAAGGAGGAGGGAGAGACTTCAGTATGTTATTCCTTGGTAGGGGAAGGTCCTTGGACTAGCACTTCAAATAGATTTTACTAGATAAATCCAGCAAACATGACCAACATAATTTCCACTTGTATTTCATACTCAACACTGAAAATGGTACACACCTATCCAGGAACAGAGAGTTGGAATCCAGTGGGACTGGTCAGAGAGATGAGTGGAATCATAAGTGATGTTGATATTGAAAGAGTTTAAAGAGAAGGAAAGATGAATAATTATCATCTATCCTAGTCGGCATTACCTATCAACCTCATGCAACCTCACCGGAAAAGTGATTCTCAATTAAGTAGCCATCTTCATCAGGTTGGTCTGTGGGCAGGTCTTGACTGTTAATTGATGTAGGGGGCTCCAGCCCACTACGGGCATCATCATCATTCCTTGGGCATGTGGTTCTGAGCTGTATCAGAAAGCTAGCTAAGCATGAGCCTATGAGCAAGCCAGCAAGCAACATTGCTCCATGATTTGTGCATAAATTCCTGCCCAGACTTTGCTCAATGATGGACAGACTAAATAAAATCCTCTCTTTACCTAAGTTGCTTTTGATCATGGCGTTTATCGTGCCAACATAATGAAAGTAGCGCTCCACCCCTCTCCCTTCCTTAAGGTGGCATGGGGAAATGTGGTGACAAGCTAGGCAGCCTAGTTTAGAAACACAACAGAGTGCCCTCCTCGTGGCAAGTTCTCCTCTCCACATTTGGATTGAGATGGGAGGAGGGACGGCAGTCATCTGTCCCACCTCCCCACATGCTCAGATCCAAGCTCTGCCCAAGCAGGGAGCATAAACGTTCAGTCTTTGCTCATAGTATATATAGACATGTGAGTTTAGTGTTCTGCTTGATTTCACAACAATGTGGTCTAACTATTTTATTCTACACGTAGCTTCTTTCATTTTATGTGTTATGTTCATGTGTGTCAGCCACTTTCCATAGGTGTGTCATGTTCCTCAGGAAATAGTCTATTTGTCCACTTCTCTGTAGACAGGTGTGCCATACTGGTACTTTCCAGTTCTTTGCTTCTGGAGACACCATGGCAGAACATCCTGGAACTTTGCATCTCGGCTTGTTTGTCTTCCCTCCTTTCATAAATCATCAAGTGTCTAGGGGTAAAGTCCATTTTGTCCTAGCAGCTGCACCATGACATTCCTTAGGAACCACAGTCATTAGCAGAGAAAGGAGGATCATCGTGAGTTTTAAACCAACTTTAGGCTGGGATAGCAACACCCTGTCTCAAAAAGAAGAAACAATTATTTATGACCTGAACGAAGAAGTTTCTAGAACATCGGTTCATACAGGTAAGGAAAAAACAAAAAAACAAAAACCCAGCACAAGCCAGTACACAGGGAGGCAGAGACAGGCGAGTCTCTGTGAGTTTGAGGTCAGCCCGCTGTACAGAGTGAGTTCCAGGACAGTCAGGGCTGTTACACAGAGAAACCCTGTCTGGTTGAGACTACCTGCACCTGAAGTCTGGGGTAAGCAAGCCAAGAATGTAAATCTATGGATGCCTGATTAGGCTGAGGCCCGTAACTAAGTGGCAATAAACTTTGACTAAGTGGCAATAAACTTTGTTCCTCTGGCTGTGTCTTGAGCAGGTGCTTGTGGCTGGCTCTCAGCAAAGCGGCTGTGAATGTGAAAGGGCTTCATAAAGAACTTAGCTTTGGCCCTTTTGTCCCACACATCTTCACACTCCCCTGACTCCAGCCGGCTGTGGCCTGCTGTTTGCTGTCTAGGGATTGGCCGCTGTTGTGTTGGTTTTCTGTTTGTGTTTGACACTGGGTTTCTGCATAGCTAGTGCTGGCCTTGGGCTCCCAGCCTTCCACACTCAGCTTCAGTGCTGGAAGGACAGGTACACAGCACCACACTCAGCTCTAACCAAGTGCATGAAAGAGAGAGCTGTCTCATCCCTGGACAGAGGTAGAGAAGGGCTGGGAGTGCCTGCTTCGGCAGGAGACTGAGCATGTGCGTGCCCAGAGAGTGCAAGCTGAGCACGAGGCATGCAGTGCGTTCATTTCTCACTGCTCTTGACTGTGTGCACCTTGCGACCCGATGTTTAAGTGGCTTCCCCGATATGATGCACTGTAACCTGGAATTGTGATTGAAATGAGCCCCCTTTTCTCCACAGTTGATTTTTGTCGAGGTGTTTTATTATCATAACAGAAATGAAACTTGGAAAAGGCCACACAAGAACAATCTGCCAGACTTGTTTCTCAGGTCACAGTTTTGGTGGGTCCCTGAGGTTGTATATTAAAAAAAGCTGGGGAAGCAGGGACCTGGGTGTCACCTCTTAGGAGATGACATTGTGCTGGGATGAGAGGACTTGAAAAACCACCAGCCTCATAGTGGGTACATTTGGGGGTACATTATAAAGGAGGGAGATAGGGAAGCACTCTTGAATAGTGTCCCGCATCCCAGACATTCTTTCTTCCCTCAGGTTCCCTTCTCTCTCGGATCTGGAGTGTGCCATCCCCTAGTGCGCAGACACTGAGATAGGACTCTGTTTCCTCAGGAAAAAAAAAAATATGTAATAATATTGCTACCAGTATTGTTGGAATTGTTGCATATTATAGAACAAAAAGCAAATGCATAATTATGTTAAGAAGCTAGGTAGGATTTGTTTGTTTTAGTTATACATGTGAGTGCCTATGTGTTTGTATGTGGACCACATATATGCCTGGTGCCTGAAAAGGCCAGAAGAGGGTGTTGGAACCCATCTGGAGCTGGAGTTGCAAGATATTGTGAGCCACCTGATGTGGATACTGGCAACTAAACCCAGGTCCTCTGAAAGAACAGCAAATGCTTCCAACTGCTGAGCCATCTCTCCAGTCCCAATAGCCTAGCATTTAGAAACTAAATGCAACATGGAAGGCCAAAGGTATTGTGAGAAAACTATAGGTCAGTCTTCCTAATGAGAATAGGTGCAAAACTCCTCAACAAAATAACCAGTAAATAAAGTATTCAACATTATATAAGGATAATGTACTGTGGCCAGCTAGCCTATCCCAGAAATGCAAGGTTGGTTTAATATAGGCTCACCAATTAATCTGATACACCATACTAATGCAACAAACGACAAATGTCAGCGATGCAAGGGGAAAAGCACTTGACAAAATCCAAAACTTTAGGGAGCTTGAGACATTCCACAGACTAAGAATATGAGGAACTTCTTGCCAAATGGCACCAATAGGAAACTACATTGCTTAGGGATGAAAGGTCCCTCCACATGCCCTAGCCACTTCTACCCAATCTTGCTTTACAATCTCTAAGCAAGACAATCAGACAAGAAAATAAGTAAATAAATTAATGAATAGCTTCTAGGTTAGAAATTAAGTAAAATTGGCTATTTGTAAATGACACCCTCTGTCTCTCTCTCTCTCTCTCTCTCTCTCTCTCTCGTGTGTGTGTGTATGTGTGTGTGTGTGTGTGTGTGTGTGTGTGTGTAAACTTCATACAAACACACGGGTCTTTTACACAGGTCCCAGTCAACTAGCAGTGGAAGTAGGGCTAAGAAGAATAAAGTCTCTCCTACCCTAATGGCTGGAGAGGATGTGGGACTCCCATTTAGCCTGATGCTGCATCTGCGTTCTTGCCACGATGTGAAAGCTGAATGGTGGGTGACTGGATAATGCCTATCTTCTCTGTGTCTCCCTCCAGCTGCAACAGCAAGCACTACCTGGAGACACTCCCCAACACCAGCATCATCATCCCTTTCCACAACGAAGGCTGGTCCTCACTGCTCCGCACTGTTCACAGTGTGCTCAACCGCTCACCCCCAGAACTGGTGGCGGAGATCGTGTTGGTCGATGACTTCAGTGATCGAGGTAGGCCCTGCCCACCCTGGCTCTGCTTCTTGAGCTCCATGCTTACAAAGGGGTGCTACCCACAAAAGAGTTCTCCAGCAGTATGAAATATGACTCCTTATTTACTCCACAGACCTTGTATCTTACACGCAATCCCATTTCATGTTCACAACATCCCAGCAAGCAGATCCTATTGTAATCCCCTTTTGTTGGTTTGGAAATGCATTAAACTGTGAAGAATAGACAATCGGATGAGCAATAGCTGGCATAAGCCATGGATCAGTTCACTCCCCTGTGTACCTATTCACAGAACTGGTACATCTTGCATTTGGGGGCTGTCCAAGTTTGCTTTCCATTGCTGTCATAAACTCCATGACCCAAAGCAACTTGAAGGAGGAAAGCATTTGCTTTTATGTTCACAGTTTATCATTGATGAGGAAAGTCAAGTCTGAAGGTTAAGCCAGAAATGAAGCAGAAACTGTGGAGGAGCACTGCTTACTGCTTCATCCCTAACTTCTGCTTAACTAGCTTCCTTATACAGTCCAGGCCCACCTGCCTAGGGACAGCACCACCCACAGTGGGTCAGACCCTCCTAACAGCAGTTAGCAATGAAGACAGTTCCCTACGGACAGGCACACAGGCTAGTCTCATCAAGCAAGTCAACTGAGGCTCCCTTGTCTCAGGTGACTCTAGGTTATGTCAAGTTGGCAGTAAAAACTGACCAAAATAGGGGCTGTAGTTTAAGGGGGTAAAAAAAAAAAAAGAAGAAATTAAGTCGTTCAATACTTCTTCCCCTTCCTCCTGGCCATGAAATGACTGCTGAACTGGTGTAAGTTCTGGGTAAAAACTCAGCCTCCTCCTGTCAAGCTTATCTTCTTTTTCTAGAAGGTTTTCCAGAACCTTGTGGCCAGAACGCTAGAATTTGGTCCTTCTATCTGTGTGGGAGGCTAGGAGCATGAGGCCTTTGTGTCTGTGGTAGAGGAAGGAGGAGGTTGCAGGCGTGGAATGAGGGTGTCAAGCCAGCCAGCCTGTGGCACTTACCACGGCACAGTGCAGGCACGGAACGGTGCCTCCAAGCACATGACCTTGTCTATATGCAGAGCGTCTTCACTATGTATCTCATTCGGGGCTTGAAGGAACACAGAGGTGTGGCCACAAACGAAATCCAAGACAGACTGCCTTCCAGCTCATGGCCTCCCACTCCGAGGCCGCCCAGTAAGGTCTGTGAGCCTGTGATGGCAGTGGGAGGCCTTCCTCCTTATACAGCTCTTAGCTGCAAACCTGGAAGCAGTTAGCCTCTGACCTTGCCCCTGACTCCCACTTTTTCTATGACCTTAGCCTGGCGCCTGACCCTGTATTGTGCTTCCAGTCCCTCACGTGTGAAAAGGAATTGTTAAGACCGACTTCCCTCTGGGAGCCCTGACTGTTAAATGAGTTGCTAGATAGTAGGCAGTAAAGTGCTTGGGCTATGTGTCACCCAGGGAAAATAAAAAAATAAGCCCATTGCTGCTGGCTGTTACTGCTGTTTCTTGCTATTATTTATGACTGCTTTGCAGTGGAATAGCCTCTGTCCCCTCTCTCCTGCCCTCCTCAGCCTCCTATCTCAACCTCTTTCTCTGGCTTGGCCTTGCTACGCTCAGGTCAGAGACTCCCATTAGACAACACAAAGTTGTGTGTGGCTTGAGGGAGCAAATGACCCTCCACTGGGGTAAATGTTCTTCCCAGCTTTCCTAATAGATGTATTCTGAGGCCTCACCCACTCTCATGGTCCCCAGCTTGTGCACCTGCAACAGCAGAGTCCATAGGAGACTCCATCTCTCCCGGGGCCCGCGATCCCTTTACAATGGCTCCTCCGTGGTCGTCCTCAGTGGCTCCACTGTTGGAGCATCCTAGGGGATCACACTGGTGGGTTTCCTGTGACATGTGCACTTGTCCATCTATTCCTCCGCTTCCCTACTTTTGTATGCTATCTTTTCTGAAGAGCTCAGCTGTGAGTGTAGCCCTGTAGCTGCCTAGAGCGTTGACATGCTGAGGTGACAGCCTTGGGGTGAGTCCCTTTCTTCGAAGTAAGACTTTGGTCACACAGATGGGGAAACAGAGCCGCAGCAGATGCTCTAAGTGGCACAATATGCTCACCTGTCCCCTACCAGCCTGCCCGAAGAGTAGGCAGATGACATTTGACAGGGAGCTGAGTCTCTCTGGGTCTAAGAATCCCAGATCTGCATTAATGGTCACTTGTTGTCACTACAGTGCTCACAGGCTTGCAGGTTCTTTCATCTGTTCCCCGTCTCTGTGACCACATACACCAGCTTGCAGGCTTGCCTCTCCATCCCCGTCACTGGCCACGTGCACTGGCTTGCAGGTTTTCTTATCCATGTGTGATGTCGATGTGGCCACACACACTAGCGTACAGGCTCTCCTATCCATCCCTCGTGTCACCGTGACCACCTGCTCTGGCTTACAGGCTCTCTTCTCCTGTAGCGTCTCTGACGTTGTGAGCACTTTCCCTCATTCTCAACAGAGAGGATTGCTAAGACTCCGGCACTTTCTGAATATCAATTAGCTTGTAATGAAGGAAATCTGTAAACCTTCGGGGAATGTCTGGCAAAAACACAGGGTGCAAGAATTGATGTATTTATGGGACGTTTTGTGCATCTTTAAGAAAGCAAAAGCTAGGGTTTATGAATCAAGCACTATATAAATGATGTCCTGGGAAAGAAAAGAATTGGGTAAATCTGTTCAGAGTGCGTCTGAAGCATCAAGAGCTCCGGTGTGTGGGAAAGGATTGTTCCTGTCCTGGAAAATAGCTGCATTATATTTTCAGAAAGTGACACCTTCACTGAGGCGGTGAGCCGTCTGCATTTTAAAAATTTGCACAGCGGGTGCATTCAGCTGTGCATTTTCTCCCAGTTTTCTGTAAGGTGTGTGTGTGTGTGTGTGTGTGTGTGTGTGTGTGTGTGTGTGTGTGTGTTTCCGCGTGCGCACATGTGCACACGCATACACATACCTATGTGTAAAGCCATAGACAGTCTCAGATACCATTTGTTTTAGTTTCATTCTGTTGCTATGATACAACACCATGACCAAAGCTTCTTTGGGGGGAAGGTTTTATTTAGCTCACAATCCCAGGTGACAGCCCATCGCTACAGAGAAGTCATGGTGGCAGGAACTTGAGACATCTGGTCACATCATATCCAAGAGCAGAGAAAGATGAATACATGTGTGCCTGTTTGCTTGCTTGTGATCAGCTTGGTGTTTCCACTCTTAGATAATTCACAACCCCCTGTTTAGGGAGTGGTGCCACCCATAGTAGGCTGGGTCTTCCCATCAATTAACTTAAGTAAGACAGTCCCTGGCTTAGACATGTCCACAGGCCAGCCCAATGTAGGAGTTCCTCACTGAAGCCCTCTTCTCAAGTGATTCTCTGCTGCATCTTGTTAGCCATTGTTTACATTTATTATATTTTGTTTATCGTGTATATGAGCATGGGTATCAGTTTGGGCGCAGGACAACTTGCGTGCATCATTTCTCTCCTTCCACCATGTATGTCCCAGGGATGAGGTTGTCAGGCTTTTGTTGCAAGCAACTTTACACACCGAGCCATCTCACCATCCTGAGTAAAGCTAACCTTCACGTCACTACTCAGGAGCCCTCTGCCTTATGTGTTGCTTTTTGTTTGTTTGCTTTTGAGACAGAGCCTCAAAGTGCCCTGGTGCTTGCCATCCAGCTGTCCAGTGAGCTGCAGGGCTCACCCTCACCAGCTCTGAGGTTACAAGCGTGTACCACCATGTCCAACTTTCTACATAGGCCGGGTCCTCGTGCTTCTACGGCAAGCACTTGACTGACTGAACCAGCTCCCCTGACTCTGAAACGAGTCTTTAAACTGTTTCGGTGTTTCACTAAAAGTGTAATGAGAGGGGAATGAAGCTGGATGGAGCAGGACATCTGAGTTTCTTGCAAGAAGAGAGAGGGCATGTCAGTCTGTCTGCAGGTGACTGCTGGGCCACTCTTGTCAACTGAAAGCTGGTGGAAGTGATTTTGATCCAGGGTTGAGAGTGAGAGAGCATTTAAGGTGAAAATAAAAGTAAAGGATTCCTTGCTATGCAACTTGATCTAGCAGAAACCTGCTGAGTATCACTTACTGCGCTCACTAAATGGGAAGCATACAGAGGAAAACAAACAATAACACCGAGAGAGCTCCGTCTGTATACTACGTGCTGTTGTGATCGTATGGTTTGGGTGAGAACTGTCCTCCACAGGCTCGTGTGTTTGAACACTCGGTCCCCAATTGGTGGTGCCATCTGTGCAAGTTGGGGAACCTTTAGGAAGTAGAGCCTTGCCAAAAGAGGTAGGTCAGTGTCTGCCCCTCAGGGTATAGCCTGGTCCCCCTTCCTGTCACTCACTGCTTCTGTGTCCCTGCAGATTCAGTGAGGCCCAGCCACATGCTCCCAATGCTTTAGTCTCTGCTATGCTATCCCAGCCATAATGGACTTCCTCAAACTGTGTGTGAGCTGAAATAAAGCTTTCTTCACCAGTGGTTTCGTGTCAAATACTTGGTCACAGCAGAGAAAAGTAACTAATACAAGTCATTTAAGCACATCATAGCTAGTTGACAGGAAGCCTCTTCTAGTTAGCATCCACCCAAAGGGAAAATTTATATAGTTAGCATCACCCCAAAGTGTAAGAAATTTACACTCCTACTCTGCCCCTGCATATCACCTCCTAATAAAACAGCAAAAACTCTTAGGTTAAAAATTCAAAGTATTCAGTCATGACATTTGATCTTTATCCATATATCTAAAAGAGATGGTCTCCTATTCTCATTTATCATAAACATTAATTCAGACCCTTTAAATAATATTGTTTATAATTGGTTAAGGAAGGGCATTGGCCAAAAATAGTTATTAACTACTACCAGCACCAACACACACATGCATAAGCATGCACATGTATACATACAGGCATATGCATGCACACACTAATATTGACACACAAAGACATACACGCATTGACACAAACAT